TTAGATAGTGGTGTTGAACGAACTTGTTCGTTACAACGCCTTCAGTCGAGAGGCTAAAAAATTGTAAAACGGAATATCTATTCCGAAATACTGTGGTGCCGAATTATCATGAGAACCGCGATCGGCATTTGTTTGCTTCTTCGCGGGAAAAGCGTGGATTGCGTACCACGACGTCGTTTTAAAAAGATCGCGCTTCATTGGCTCCATTGTTTCATAATCCCGCGGATACTTATTGTTGCTTTTCCAAATTGTATTTCTTTATTAAACCTTTTTTTAACACAATCGTGTTGACATTTATCATTATCCTACAATACAGAAATGATATTATGTCCCTTAATGTTATGTGCGTCTCGAACACCTAAATATTTTCTCGATGCGCGAGAAAGCTTCTTCTTCGCGGAGACTTTTTCGGTACGGTGAAGTATAATATTAAATAAACGCTTCACTATGCGTACAGCGCCAGAGATATTCAGATGAAGTAATATGAAACTATAACTGGCAAAAAACGGTTTCTGGAATGGAAACTTCTTCCAAAGCGACGAGCTTTCGGTACGGACGATTTCTCGATATAACATCGAGTTTTCGCTTAAACGTACGAAAAAATATTATTATGGATCGTAGCTATGACTCGAAATTTTGAGAGAGAGAAAATAAAAATTTAGGTGGATTTTTAAGAATCGATGTGCCCAACGCGAGCTAAAATTCTCTGTCAACGTGCTTACATCGATTCGATTTTTTCGAACAGCATGTTCGTTGTACGCGCTATCACGATACGTTCAGCTCGCCACTGTACGCGCTAACCTTGTCGATGTTTCTTAAATAAAATAACAAAGAGAGAGAGTTTCGAGGAACGAAAATTTAATATAACTGAAAACATGTGAACCAAATAAAAAGGGGGAGGAATGCTTTTATTAGATCAAAACCAATCGATGCGGCGGACGGTTCGTCCGTCTTCCCATCGTCGGCTATGATGACTCTGAATAACTTTGTGCTGATCGTACGGTCTTCTAGCACCGACGACGGATCTTTCAAATGTCTGCCTTGTCAACTGTCGATGGAAGGTTCTACGCCTACCATGGTTGTAACGGGTAACGGGGAATCGGGGTTTCGATTCCGGAGAGGGAGCCTGAGAAACGGCTACCACATCCAAGGAAGGCAGCAAGCGCGCAAATTACCCACTCCCGGCACGGGAAGGTAGTGACGAAAAATAACGATACGGGCCACATCCGAGGTCCCGTAATCGGAATGAGTACACTTTAAATCCTTTAACGAGGATCCATTGGAGGGCAAGTCTGGTGTCAGCTGCCGCGGTAACTCCAGCTCCAATAGCGTATATTAACACTATTCCTACCGACACTTCACGTATACCTATTCCTACCGCGGCCGGTCAAATGACCGGTCTTTCACAACTTATATTTTTCAATATTGAATGCAGACCAATAGCCAGTTTACCAGTATAAAAATGTATTTTCTTTTATTCAAGAGTACATAATCTACATTTTATTCTTTTTCGTCGCATTTTTTACAAATGGGCTTCTCAACTGTACATTTTCCACATACGTACTTTTTACATTTTAAACAGATTTTGTTCGTCTTATTATCTTTACAAAACCTTATCTGACATGTTTTCCGTTCACGGGAACGTGTATTTGTACTTGCGATGGGTACTGGTTGATTTTCTTTGCCGAGCTCTTGTTGGTATTCGATGGCAAGTTCCTCTGCCAATTGGAATAGAAATTCCTGTCTTGTAATTTCTTCTCCCGTAGTTTCTTTATATAACACCCATGCATTTATCCCGGCTAAATCTAAGATATTAAAAAATACTTGCAAAGGCCATCTCCGAGATTTAGATTTTACCGAACACTTTCTGGCAGATATTAAAAAATACTTGCATTTGATCGGTCACATCTACGCCAAATTTGGTGCTATTATACAATTGAATTGTCTCCGGTGTTCGGGTGTCATTTTTTTCAACTTGTACGGAGTTGTGCATTGAACTGAGAATTAGAACTTTCTTTCTTGTTTTGGCTTTGTAAATTGTCAACATACAATTATTTGAGCGATAGAGTTTGGTTGAGAAAAGTGCCATGTCGTCGTTTTTCAGTTTTGCCGATCTTGGTAGCTCTTTCCTATTTGCTCTAATTGTCCCAACAATCGTAGTTTTTTTTGCTAAAAGTTTTGTTGCTAAAGGTAGGCTTGTAAAAAAGTTGTCTGTGGTTATATTTCTTCCACATCCTACATACGGTTCTACTAATTTCATAGTGACAAACTCTCCAAGAGGAACTGAGGGTTCTCTACTTTCATCTTTTCCCAAATATGGAAAGCCGTTTATTATATATTTGCTACGTACATCGGATGCCAACCAAAATTTGATACCAAATTTGTCCGGTTTATTGGGCATGTATTGAGTGAATCTACACCTTGCTTTCGTTGGAAACAATTGTTCGTCAATAGTAATATATGGTCCTGGTTTATAACAATTTTGACTGTTGTCAATAAACTTGTTCCAAACTTCGGAAATCATAGCGAATTTATCGGTTTGTAACCGTTGGCTTCGTTGATTTCTGTCGTCAAATCGAATAAATCTCATAATCTCCGTAAAGTCATGTCTACTCATAGTATTTGAGAAAAAAGGCGGGCCCCACTTTTTATTCCATAGAAGAGCTACATCTATATTCTTCGCCTCATATGCGCCGCGTGCATACAGAATTGCAAAAAATGCATATAACTTAGCAGTAGACAGTTCCCATTTATATCCCAACACTCTAAATGCCTCTGCCTCTGTGCACTTTCTTATAAGTTCGATTATATTCTTATCAATTATCACAGAAAATGCCGTCCTAACTTCGCCTTTCATAATATTACGTTTACTGTACCCAGCAGGGCCTGATGTTTTCCTAAAAATATTATGACCAGGTGCTCTTCCAGGATTAGACCCTATTTTTACTTCCTGCCAAACAGTTCCGTCCATCGCAATTTCGCTTGCCTCTTCCTCATTCTCACTATCGGAACTAACTAAAAATCTCCTTCTCTTTCGTCGTCTACGTACGCTCGAAGTATTCTCTTCGTTCTCATCGGTGTTCGAGTCGGTTTCAAATGGATCATAATTTTCCGTATTGTCATTTTCCATATCCAGAATTTCCTGATCATCTCCAGAACATTCTGCATCGATATCATTTATTCTCTCTAATAATACATTCGCACTCCTCAAACGTCTTGACATTTTGGGGTAAATATTCAGCGGAGAAAATAAACACTAAAATATGAAAATGTAAATCAAAACAGATAAAAAAATGAATAAAAGATAAAATGTGAAACTTACTTCGACGTATTGTTAGTTTTGTTCACTATTTTGAAAATTGCACTTATAACACGTAATACGGTATAAAATATAACAAAATAATAATAAAAGACTGCCAAGTATGCTCTTTGTGACTTTTACGTTTCGATGCACTCTGTTCGTGTCGCAAGACTATACTGATTTGAATTCGTGAGAAGACGTCTATACATTTCCTTCAGTTATAAGTTTATATATTTTACGTCATAGTAGATAAGATGGCGTAAGAACATTCGAGGATCTGGACCACATCGGATATCAATCAAGCAAATAAACACCGCTAACCCGATAGTCGAGCGAGAACTGTAAACACTTGGAAGTGCCGAAAACCATTTTCTGGAAGGCACTTCTCGGATAAAATCGTGCCACAACTACATTACCTTTCGTTTGTAACGACTTTATAGTTTTGGCATTGAGTCTTAGAGAGAAACTATTACAAAAATGTATAAATCGTACTACCGGTCAAATGACCGGTCGTGGTACGTAAGACAGACTACAAATATTTCTCAGAAAATAAACAATAAAAAAATAAGTGAATATTGAAAAAAGAATTATATGCATGTTTCAGGAAAAGTCATGAAGTTTGAAGGCGTTTCAATTACGTTTTATACAGGAAATTCTAATCGAAATTTTGAAAACGGTCATTTGACCGGTCGCGGTAGGAATAGTGTTAAAGTTGTTGCGGTTAAAAAGCTCCTAGTTGAATCTGTGTGTCGCAGTGCCGGTTCATCGCTCGCGGTGTTTAACTGGTATTATGCGATACATCCTACCGGTGGGTTTAGCTTCTCTTCGGAGTTGCGGCCCAAGTTAAATATCCCATCGCGGTACTCTTCGCTGAGTATCGAGGTGGGCCGGTACGTCTATTTTGAACAAATTAGAGTGCTTAAAGCAGGCTATTTTCGCGTTAATATTCTGTGCATGGAATAATGGAATAGGACCTCGGTTCTATTTTA